TACAAGAAATCTAAACACCCCTCACCCTCCCCAGTAAAAAAAAGGCCCTGAATCGAATCGAAATATGGCGACCAAATTGAATAAATATTGTTCTGGTCTGATGACTGCCTCGTGTTCATATGGATACACAATCATGTTTTTACAGGTAAGAAAGGCTAGTTAGACCAAAACAATAGTTATTCAAATTATTTGCATATTTTCTACAAGTATTTTTAACAATGATATAGAGAATATTACATGGCMGTGCGGAGATCATGTAATATGTTCTCATGTAAAGATATATTATTTCTAAGTAATAGAGTACATACCATATACCAGAGAAAAAGTTGTAAAGGGAATGTAGGGGAGTTTTCATGACGATACTGCAATTAAATGTTATAACAATTTGCTTTGAAACTTTATACAGTCGTTGCGTGTACCTCTTTCAAACTTAGTTTTGAGACTTGCCACCCCCGATATGGACCATATCAAGCTAGGTAATCCCCAAAAATCTCCAGCCTTCCMATTATTTAGGTAGAGAATAGCAGATTTCGATAAAACCCTATGTACGGCATACCTACCCTATAAACAGGTAGGTAGCATACATATCCTATAAACGGGTAGGTAGCAGACTCCGTGGAGTGCAGACGTGTTTTCTCGACTCTCCAACTTAAAATTTTCTCTAAGTCTTTATCTTGCTTTAACTTTCATATCAAGATGATTAACTGACTCCGTGGAGTGCAGACGTGTTTTCTCGGCTCTCCAACTTAAAATTTTCTCTAAGTCTTTATCTTGCTTTAACTTTCATTTCAAGATGATTAACTGACTTTTAACTTTAGTCTATGTATGACGAATTATAAACTTTAAAGAGAGTATACGTATCAAGCGAAAGAATGGCTGAGCGTAAMGCCGACATGAAAGAGGTTCTCAATGGCTTCTTGAAATCCGCCAAATTCAAGTCAATCATAAAAAATGTAGTCTCGAGGAGGCTGTTCAGAAAGCTACTGCTCCACTTCTGAGAAGAATTTCTATGTTAGAAACACAGCTTGCTGAGGCGAAATCTCATGMTAACGATAATGAACAATACGTCAGGAAATACAACCTGAGATTTGTAGGATTAAACGAGGAGGATGAGGACTGTCGAGAGAAAGTAATATCACTATGTAAAGATACTCTTGATATTGATGATATTGATGTTRAAGAAATTGATCGAGYCCATCGCGTCGGTCCTAAAAAACAGACAAGGCAAGGCCAATAATTGTAAAGTTTAAGTCTTACGACACGAAAATGATGATTTSTAAGAGGAAWGGTGCACTGAAAGGAACTCAAATATACATAAACGAAGACCTGACTAAAGAGAATGCTAAACWTTTCAACTTTATACGAAAGAATTGTAATGCCACCGTGAAGTCAGTGTGGGTAACAGACGGAAAGATTCTAGTCAAGAAGAATAATGATGGAAAAACACTGCGCATACGTAAGTTTGACGATCTATACAAGTTTCAG